CTCTTTTTCCAATTCTTTTATGCCTTGAAATCGGAGAGTCAAATTTGATTTTTCCATTTGAAGCATCAATAACTTTTTATCTTGCATTTCTTGATGCTTTCCCATTTTATCCACCTTCTTCTTGACCTTTTGAGTATCTTCTGCTGAGACCAGACATTTCTGCGCGATTTCTTCCATTTTCTTAGCTGTATCATTCAACTGGATCTGCTGGTTACTGAGAACACTTTCCATGCTTGTCAACGTTTGATTTATTTTTTGCATTTGCTCCAGCAGAGGGCGCAAAAGCTCGCTCTCCTGTTGAGTGACAGCCGGCTCCAAGGGGTGGGAGCCAGCACCGGAAGTTCCTCCCAGCTTCTTTGCCGGCTTCTCCTGAAACTTTTTCTGCCCCGACATCTTTATTTTATTGTTTACTTTTTAAAAGTTCGTGCCGCGCAGCTAGCAGATGGATCTTCCTGCCTCTCTTTTAACAATTCACCAAAAGGTAACACCACTCTTTTAGAATTTCACTCCCCCCCCCTCTTCTCTCTGTTAAATCAGTCTCTGTTTAGTGAGGGGGGGTTCCCCCTCCTTCCCTGCGCTTTTTCACTGGCGCAGTCGGGGGGGGGCTTTCCCCCTTCTTCCCTGTGCTTTTTCAATGGGGGGGGGAATGTGCTTCACTCCTTTTTTCCCGTTTCCGACCAGCAACTCACAGTTTTAGCCGAATATCTTCCATTCAAATGCTTTTCCGCTTCATCACTCGGTGACGTCCGGCGGCTCTGCTAGTCCCCGTGCGGGGCACTGCCGCAGCAAGGGCCATTGGGGCATGGGGCGAGCCTCAATTTCTGACCTTCGGGCTGGGAAAGAGGCACATCCCCTAAGCGCCCCGGATCGGAGCCTCTCAGTGAGGCTCCTTAGGGTCTCCGCTTGTGCGGATTCTCCCCCTTAGCCGCGCGTGGGCGAATTACCTCCGGGAGCTTCCCAGAGTTGCGACCGCCATTCACAGAAGCCAGACCGGAAGCCCTCCACTCACCCTCAGCTTCTCACACAGCAGCTAGCAAAGGCAAAAGGCAGAAGGACAAAAACCCCTTACCTTCTAGCAGCACCTCACCATGTGCTCTCCACTCCTTGCCTCAGGCCAGCTGACTCACCTCTGCCTCTGGCTAGGAGGAGCCTTTTGTTTCATGTAGTGTGAAGGTGGAAAAAGCTGTTGGAGGAGGGGGAGTTTTTCTTGCTCTCATAAAGTTCCAGAACATCCATTGGAGAGTTTTGTATGTAGCTGCATAGCTCATGGACAAAACAGTTTGATTTAAAGACTTCATCATCATCTTCAGTATATTTGGATGCGAAATTATTGAGAAAGACACT